CCTCAAACGGTAAAGACTACGATAAGCAGTCATGGGTTTCTCTAGAATAAACTAACGTGCTAAACGACAAAAGCAATGGTCAATAAACAAGAGTTTCATAACGGAGAATCAATAAGAGTATTTCCAAGAAGATGGGATCGGATATATACCTGCGCGGATTCCAGTGACCTTGTGGAAATGTGCTCTACTATTAAATTGGTACCGCTCTAATAATAGACCTAATCTTAAAATTGTAGATATATCATGATATAACTGCCTAATCTATAAGATCTTACGTGGAAGTCACATCATCGTCTACACCAACGCATTGCATCGTCACAATTATCAATACATGATAGAGAACAAGCTTAGGCTAGAAATAGAACAGTGTACTTAATATGAATAAAAGATATAACGTAACATTCAGTAGGAACCACGTCTGCAAGGCCGAGCCATGCCATCCGATCAACTCGGACTATTTCCTATCCATTGTTCCCGCGTTTCTCATCCTTCAGTTTTTCACCGCGTTAAATATTGAATATCTATTTTCTCAAGTATCTCCCGTTCAAATTTGAGGATTGTGTGATTAGGGCTTAATGCCACTACAACCTTTCCAAGTAGGCAGTCAGAGGTTAACATTCATCAACCGTACAACGCCGCGGCCTTGAGTTTAGTCAAACACGACCATATTATTACAACTGTGTTCCCTTGATCCTCAACTCGTCTCTCATATTAAGGCTAATTAGTATAAATGGAAAATATTCATGCATTCGGCGGACAGAAAGTTAATGTAGTATTAGCCTCGACTCAAGCTCGTGAAAATTATAAATTCTTTCCTTTGAGCCTATTGGTGTAATCTGCTCCGATAGTTTAGGTCGTTGGTGTTCGTTCTAACAAAGTATTATATCCTGATATTATCATACCATGGAATTCAAAATGGAGTCCCAGACCACAGCACTCAATACTAATCCAGCCTCATCTGTTAGTATTAAAAAGACGTCATTTTTTCTTTGCTACATGAGTATTTGTAGCATCGAAAGTATATGAGTTCAGTTTTGACTTCAATCATTTCGTTGTGAGTATACTTTTATGATTCGTTAAGTGGTATTCTATTCTCGATACATAATCTCATGAGTTTGGATCTTGCGTTTCAGTCGGTTATTGTTAATCTTTAAGATTTTATACTTAAAATATAACCTTCTTTGACACTATGGAGTAGCTGAGAAAATCCGGAATTCATAAGATGGAGTACACTGAAATGTCGTGCATGGAGGTCAGCTGACAGATACATTTCCGGTGACGAAAGGAGTCAGACAAGACTGCCTACTTTCCCTCTTGCTCTCTCCTCTGGTTGCTGACTGGCTTATGATTACCTTGACATCTGACGAAAAGCATGGAATACAATGGACAGCTCAGAATCAACTAGACGACCTGGACCTCGCAGATGATCCAACTTTTCTGTCCCATACGCATCAATAAACGCGGGTCAAGACACATAGTGTAGCAGCGGTCTCTGCAGCAGTAGGCCTCAACATACACAAGGAAAGAAAAAAGAACCCCCAATTACAACACGGAGTACACCAACCAACCCAATCGTACTTGACGGAAAAACTCTGGAGGAGGTGGAACCTTTCCCGCACCTGTGAAACATCATCGACGAACGTGGGGGATCGGATGCAGACGCAAATACGAGGATTGACATAACAAGGGCAGCGTCCCTACAACTGAAGAAAATATGGGGCGCAAAACAACTGTCAACCAATATCAGTCCGAATCTTCAATGCAAACGTTGAGACAGTACTATTGCACGAAGATATAACTTAGAGAACCACTGCAATCATCGTCGAAAAGGTACAGGTATTTAGAAACGGTCGTCTAGGCAAGATACCATAGATCCGTTGGATACCATCGGCAACAACCTTCTGTAGGAGAGAACAATCTGAAGAGGCGATTGGGGAAAGACACCGGAGGTGGGCATGTATTATGAAAATCAGCAAACTGCGTCACGGGTCAGGTGCTAACTTGGAATCCTGAAGGTAACAGGGAAAACAGGAAATGTTGGGAGACATGACTAAAAAGTTGTACCTGAAGACTCAGGTAGAACCTTCAATGTGCCATATTATGCAGTGGACGCTACTCACAAGACTGTTTGTAACTGGTGTGTGGCTGAACATGACATTGAAGTCGCTACAGTTGTCCGACGGAGTCAGTATGTTTGACGTATCGAGAGCACGTTGTTGGCAGGACACTAGGAGGCCAGACGAGAAGATATTTCAGATGGCGGGACACACCGATTGGTGCAAACGTACGATTGAAGGCTACGTACACATACTACGTAAATACTGTGTAACATCTCGCAATAAAAACACATTCCTTTTACCTATGGTCGTTGTTTGTAAAGGTTCTTATATGACTGTAGTGGCATTGAGCCCTACCACGAGACAATATGAGAAATATGCATTAAACATTTAACGCGGAGAAATACAGAAGAATGGAGAAGGCGGGAATAATAAATTGATCGGATGGCATGTCTCGGCCTTGCAGACGTGGTTCCATCTGAATGTTATCTTGTGTCTTCTATTCATATTAAATATATTCTATCTCTAGCCTAAGCTCGTTCTCTATCACGTATTGGTAATTGTTATAACGCAATGAATCGGTGCAGACGATGATGTGACTTCCACGTAAGATCTTATAGATTAGGCAGTTATATCATGATATATCTACAATTTTAAGATTAGGTCTATTATTAGAGCAGTGCTAATATCATAGTAGACCATAATTCTACATGACTGCCACAAGTGAAGGGGAACGGACATGGTGCAGAAACTAAGAAAAAACCAATAATAAGTCATTAGTAAGCCCGTGCTATGAATAACAGAATATTTCATCAAGGTTTCGAAATAGTGCTATAAATAACTTCGACTTGATGGCAAGCTGCATAATATCTCTCAAATCTAGCGCGAGTTGAGGGTATGGGAGGCATTAGAGAAACTAAACAATACTTAGCATTTTGTAGTGGTATAGACAGAGGTATGATAAATTATTAGATTAACTTCATGCCTACTCTTGTAGCTAAGGTGAAATATGACCAGATGCTCCAGATGAGAGAAGGCAGTAATAAAGAACAATAACTTATGATATTTACCAAAGCCAGTAAGTTCAAACGAGGGAAGGAAAGTCAAGCTTGGAATAAGGAAGGCTGTTTATTAGAACGGAAAGCGCATATAGAGCAGTGTTAAGAAAACTAATAACTATATCTCTCTTTGTCTGATTTGTTTCCATCCGATGCCTGCTGCACAGTTTAAATGTAAAAGCCCAAGTTAGCATGTTATAGGTTGTCTTAGTAGAATGGATAATTCGGCTTAAAGTTGGAAATATGAGTCTAAATGGTGAACGTAGGAGAACAACCTCAATATTACAAATTGATTGGCTCGTTCTCAAACATAAAGGGACTGACATGAACTTCTGACATCTGGAACAAACGCGACGTACGCGCCTCCTCAAGGTCATAGTTATATATATATATATATATATATATATATATATATATTAAGATGTTCTGCGCTACAAACATGGGTGGATTGAAGTCATCGCCCTCACCATCGATGCTTGCTGTTCAGTCACTCAACCCCCTTTTTTGTGATGTTGAACTCATTTAAGCCTATTTTTCGGATATATATCATACCTCACATAATTCTCTGTCTCGCATCCTGTTGGAAAACATCATTTTTTAAGCACCATGTTACAAGCTTATCATGCAGTTACAAATTACAGACTATGGATAAGTCATCGATGCAATGCCCTAATTGACTATAGTATAAAGCATAGGTTGCCAATCAGAGTATAGGCTATAAGAAGGGTATATTATAGGATAGTTGCTTACCAAAGTAGTTGGAAAAGTATAGAAATATATGCGTTATATATAAGGTAAGTGGTGGTGAAATAATACTAATGGCAAGTCAACATAGTGTGCTGGAGAGTAAAAAACTGATAAAGAATAAAGAATATAATCCCGAACCAGTGAACAGAAGCCATCAGATCACTGATATTTGACCTATCCAGGTGCTTAATAGATTCTCACTAACTCCCTAATGAATGGAACCAGAGGACTCTCACTTCGGTATTCAAAGGAAATGAAAAAATCCATCGTATTGTAGACTAGTCTGATTTTTCACAACACTCTCGAACGTAATGATTGGGCTGATCAGTGAACAAGCAAGAGAATACAATAATAAGACTATCAACCAACACAAAGCTCAACATATTGATAAAGCCGTACGACCTTCTAGAACTGGAGCATACCGATTCATGTGATGTTCCTCGGTTTCAGATACCCTTTAATACAGTACTAAATGTAATTTTTATAGCAAAGTCTGAGAAAAAAATGTTCACTGACTAATGTTTTTATTGGTTCCAAATCCACCCAGATAACCGGATGTTACGTACAAAGTTAAATAGAGTGATTCAGGGTCGAAGGGCCTCAGCATCAGGAGCTTCATGAGGAGCAATTTTAGGTCCGCTCCTGTTCTTGATCTTTAGTGACGACATGTTACATGAAGTAAGGTCGGTATAACTGACCTATGAAGACAATACAATGATTTAGAGGTCCATAAAAAGCGAAGAGGATTCATTTGAGCTTGAATAGGACCACACAATTATAGAAGAATAAGCGGTAAATAATCAGCCAAAACGTAATATTCAAAAAAGGATGCAGCCAGGGAGAACCTAGCACAGTCAACTTAAAGTTGCTTTGAATACTGCTTAAAATTTACACACAGACACATCTTGAAGTCTACACTGTTGTTGCATCCATTCTCTTTAAAAGAGATGCAAACCTTTTAGACTAAGTAAACAGACGGGTAATCAAGCTATTGACAGGTCTAGAACATGAATCCTACGAATACGGACCAATTAACTAATACAGACTGGTCACAAATACATTGGATGTTGAAAATCTCTGAAGTCCAGTTTCGTTACCTCGAGAGAGAAAAGGCGGTAGAGCGATTATCTTGATCTTGATGATGGGTTTGTGTGAGTATATTGAAATTTACTTATAAACCACATTTATGCGAGTAGCTTCATGCTGACCGTTGAAAATTTTTGTTCGGACTTTACTAAGTTCTGCAACTTTCTACAATTTAAGCTTACGAACTTTGAGCATTTTAACGCGTTAAAAAGTTTTAAAACTACACAGGGCACTAAAATTTACTATTTAAAGCTGGGGGATGAAATAGGTGTTTGACTGGAATATCGAAACTTTAGTCTGTTGTTTGTGACGTATGACATTCAGTATGCTATTTCTTAAACAATTTCCGAGAGACCTTTAGAATTGTTAATGAAATTCGAACAAATTTGAAAGCAAATGCTTTGCGATTGTCAGAAAAGTTTAAAAAAGAGTCATGAAGTCACGTTAAATGCTTAGAGAGTTAACTTGAGAATTTATCTTACATCAGTTTGTTTGCAAATCGAAAGTATATGTACATAAAATGTGGTTGTAAACTGCATTTTGATTTTTATTATTCCATAAGAAGGTTGTAAAATTGGCTATTGATGAAAAAAAGATGAAAATCATAGTACTTTATGTAGAGTGAGGGTGGCATTTTTGTCGTTTGAAACTATCAAAAATTAGCTATGATGAATACTAATATGCACTGTTTGGATGGTTTTTAGTATGCTTACATAAAATTTGACCGTTGAGACTAATTTTATTAAATTTCATAATATAAATGAGCTGATCACAAACTGTCAACGTGTCTTTGACAATCTACTGATTAGACTGACTGAATTTTGTTCTAGTTAGAATTTTGGCTATCATGAGTTGCTGATAAACATTACAAATGCTTTTGTATAAATGATTATTTCATTTGTTTTTTATATCAGTTTTCAAAGTTTCTGTAGTTTTATTTTATGACATCATCACTGATGTTGTCGTAAAGTCATTTCCAGTCAAAACGATTGCCTGAAAACGACCTGTCAAGAGGGTCATTATGCTCTATAAGATATTTGTAGTAGCAAAAGAGCGCGCTTTTCAGTGGGTAGTCTGGGTAGTAGTGGTAGTCTTAGGCAATAGTGAAAATAAAATATCGTCCTATAACGTTCATGTTCAGTAACAGTAGTCCCCACTAGGATAAAGTTCATAATCTGTTGTGTATTTTTTGGTCAAGCTACTTTATCAGTATTGAAACCATATCTACTACGTTTATTAATGTATGCTGTTTTATCGAGTACGTTATTGTAGTTAAACCAGTTTTCTCAAAATTGTTGCGATAAAATACTGTTTGAAAGAATGGTATATAAACTCTTGAGGTAAACATGTGTTTTTGAGAACTAAGCTGTTACAGATTTTAGTTATAATTCGTCACATATTGTCTACATTTACTAATAGCTCTAGAAAAATAATGTGATATTCGGCATTTTGAACATGTTCTGATGTAAGCATTGGAAAATTTGTCGGAAAAATTGAACAATCTTTAATATATTTTTGAATACATACCTTTTCAAGTCATATTTAAAGTATAATGATTACTAAGAATTAAAGCCAAATGAATGTATATTTTTCAAATATAGGAAATAAGCGTAGAGTAAAAAAATAATCAATGTAAAAGCTGATCAACTGAATGTCATAGGGTTGCACTTGTACAAAGTTAACAGATCAGGATTTTGCTGCATATGTAAAATAATTACTCGGTGTTTTATTAATCGCTGCTCATTCATACTAATTCGGTGACTGCCATAGGTCATGTTAGCTTACCATGTTGTATTTACTTCTACTTTTAACTATATTACTTATCCTAGATAGCACATTGCCGTTATCCTATGCCTCATTGGATGATCTTTTACTCGAAGTTTCTGTATTTTATTCAGACTAAAAAAACAATATACTCCGTTTACTAAGAAAACTGACAGATTATTTTTAGAATACAGTGGATGAAATCGTGTGCTTAGCACGTAATTCTAACCTCATGGATGCAAAAACTTACTCCTTGACTGGTTCACTCTTTATTAATTTAAAAATTGCAAGTGAAGTATTTGGCTGCATCTTTCACTCCGGAGAATATGGTGTAAAACATATATTACTACATGACGCTACATTAATTCATGAAACTGATGTTTGCTGGGGTTTAAGCAGTTATTTTCAGTGATGACTAAGCACACCGGGTGAAATAACTCAAAATCAATCTCAATGGACCAGAAATATCTATTCTCCGTCTTCACTTAAATTTGAAGTTTTGAAAATATACTATACTTCCGTTCTTCAATTTAATTCTTTCTTTTCAAATCATATTGTCTGTTCTTAATCATTTCTTACGACCACTGATTTTTCTGCTACTTATACTTTAACATTTTTCTTGTTAATCTCATCTTACCACAATAATGTGTTTTGGCGACTTGAACTAATGGAAACATATGCAAGTCTCTATCTTTTGTTACTGACTGGGTAGTCATTTTGCTTTCATTTAATTTTAAGTGCATAGAGATTTTCTTCATTTAAAGTAATAGCTGTTTAAAAAACGATTTGATTAGTTCAAGTAAAGTATTTTTAGAAATTCAAATATTTAATTTTCAAAGTTATCGAGTTTTGAAATGCTAAACAAAATTACGACTTTCGGCCAAGAAAATGGTAATAAAAAAACCAACTTGTGTTTGTTATTACGTCTTTATGTGAATCAAATTTATCTGAAATCCTATGAGTTTTTTGCAAATTCCCAACTTTCAAGGACCCATGGTGCTAGATATTGATGATAAACATGGTATTTAGCTTAAGTAAATAGCTAAGACTGTCTAAATGCTTTATGTAAATTTATTTGAAAGCACTGTAATTAAAACATGTTTTAGACAGCTATTCTAACAAATAACTCTAATTTACTTTTGCTACAACTTGCGGCCTGAGTGCCCCGTTAATGGATAAGTAATGATACTGCCAATTGGAGAGCAGTGACTTATCGATCGGATCAATGACGTGTAAACCCATACCAGCAGCCTGGAGTCCTGATTGGTCCTGCTCTCCGCCTAGCCTAGCCAGTTAAGTTCAGAACACCAATCCGAACCTCTGCGATATGAATCATGCATTTCAAACATACTCGGTTTAAATACCAATCAAACAGACCACATCGTACCATAAAATAGAAAATAACACTCATACGAAATTTGGCCGAATGTGGCTGTGAATAGACAGAGCATAATTCAAGAATAGTAAAACGTATAATAATGGTTCATAGGTCAAAATAAAGCTTATAATGAGAGAGACATGAATATGAATAGTTTAATTAATTAACAATTATACGATAAAAATGTATGTTTAGTATTGATCCATGAATGGATCACAAAGTTACCATCTATTATGTTTATCGGGACCTAACAATTTACCACGAATCTTAAAAACGATTGAAGTTTTGTATATTTCCGATATCCTGTCATTGACTGGTTGACTTTTAATTAATCTAACATTTTGGAGCAAATTTATGCTTATGACTGTCCATGTGCTGTAGTGTAACTTATAAAATGTCATGATGTTTCAAATGTGTGCGATATTTTTACTTATCTTTCCAAAAACGGTCATTATTAGATAAAAATAATGATATTTTCACTCTGAGCAGTTGATTTTCCTAAAAACATCGATTTCAATATTAGCTGATTCTTTTAAGTGTGGCACGTCATATCCGTGATCAGTGAAAAAAGGTATCTCACAATAGTGATCTGTCTGAACGTTAGCTGAAATAAATCTTCACATGAAACTCATAATATAGTACGGACGCATAATCTTATGAACTATCTGTTCATCTATCAATAGAGTTTTCATTGTTATTCGGTTTTTTCCTTACAGCTCCTCGTAAAATTGTGTCATACTCGACTTTTGGAATTGAAATCTCATTAAAACCGTTTTTAGGTCGATTAAATCACCGCTTTGTTAAAATTCCTTACTAGGTAATTTTTCGGACTATTTATTTGACTAATGAAAGGTTTAGCTAGAATAATCAGGATAATCATTTGCGTGAACAGAAAGGTGAATGTAACAATCTGATCATCTAACTTTATAAGGTAAATTGACGACTTGCTTGAACATCTGGGCTACCTGTTTCTGCTCTATAGATATTTCAATAAGTTATCTGTTTCTACTTGTTCTAAAACATCATTGTGTTTATTAGTTGCACAACCTATTAAGGTACGCTGATGAAACGTTTACAACCTTCCACTGTATGAGTTACAAAAAAGACAACGTGGTTGCTGGCATTATGCAGCGAAAAGAATGTACATTATTCGGGTGTCGATTCCTGAACTGCTAACTTCTAGCTGGCGACCACTCAATATTTGTCGTCAGGATCGACCAAGAAGTAAGAAACGGAAACTTGTTGAAATACTTTGTGCTGAGAACTCTATACTGTACCAAAAATATAATATTGAATAAAGCTTATAATAATAATAAGAAGAAAGGATTCTTATTCAAGGTTAGATGACTAAATGCCGGAATTTTATGTAATTAAAAAAAAATAATTATCTTGTATCAAGTAGTTTTCAGTGTTTTGCTGCATGTTATAAGTGTGAAATAGGATTTTATGTGAGCCAACGATAATTATTTATAAATATGTTTTTCAACTTTATTTTCCGTCATAACCTTTATCTTGTGTTCTCATTGTATTATAACTAAAGGAATGTTTAAAATATTGTTTATCCTACTTAGTCATAAAAAATGTACTCATTTTATACAAAGATTGAATTTAGTTAATAATAATTAGTTTCCATGATTTCATGCACTAGCGTGAAATTTCTTTCAAATAACATCTTAGATGTCCTACTTAATGTTAGGCTAATTGGATATGTTAGTACATATTCATTAGTTGAATCTAAACTGCAACTGATAGTTTAAAATACTCTTCCAAATGAATTATCAAGTTAGTTGGTGTAATGAAAGCTTCATAACTCATATGAATATTAGTTATACAGCTAACGTTTCACAAATTTGTTTTAGGTGCACAAATCGACAACTGTTTTCCGTCCAGTATACGTCGTTATGTGGGACTTATTCTTTGTATTCTGGATTTATTCTTTTTTGGAGGATATCACTATGGATTTAATTCCCTAATTGGTATCTACAAATCCTTGGGTTTATTCGCTTACAACTGCACACAATCTGGTTGTATGTACGACGAAGATATGTTTGGAATCAGCTTTAACGTATGGTTTGTTTCACATATGTGCCTCATTACATTGGCCGGAATATTTATGGATAGAGTTGGATTGAGACCCTTAAAATTGACTTCGACGTTAATGTATGCTGCCGGTACTCTTATGTTTGCTTTTACAACTGGCAAAGTGGCACCACTTTTCTTTACTGCTGGTATTCTGGTTGCGCTAAGTAGTATATGCAGCCTAATTTGTAACCAACAAATTAGTTCAATGTTCCCACATTTTCGTGGAATATGCATAGCACTTATTTCCGGAGCCTTTGATTCGAGTACAGTTGTAGCGTTTGCTATATCGAGATATCACCCCTATTTTTCACTTCAGTGGTCATTTATATCTTTATCAATAGGTTCATTCATTATGGGTTTGTTCATAGCAATGTTCATTCTCACTTTGAAGTCAGCAGATATGGAGAAATTTGCAAAAACTGAAGTAAAGAAATCAGTTTTTCAGTCACGAGTAAGTAAAAGTTTATTATCGTTTAATTAATATGTATGAAGATGTTGTTAAATTCCTACAATTGAAATATCATCGTCACCTGAAATCAATGTTGTCACAAATCCAGACCGCGAAACGACATGTTAATATTCTGTTTTCGTGAATTGTGTTTGTATAAAATATCAAAGGTATGGTGTTTGGGCTACGTGCAGGTCAGTTCGACAGAAAATAAGGTTTAAGCGACTCTATGTTCTGTTTTTTTAATGATGTTTAATATGTATAACATACAAATGTTAAAATCTAATATGCTTGGCAACTTCATTCTCCTTTCGTTCTCTAGTCAAGTAATTCATTTAATCAGAATACGGCTAAACCAAAACTGAGTTTGTTACCATTGTGTTATTTATGATAGCGGATGAACACAGTTTCTTCGTGCGTTAGTTGTTAGTAACAATAAGTGATTTGTGGATGATGCACAGATTACCCGAAAACTTTATTAATGCTTAGATGACTAGTTCTACGGTTTTTTATAACTAGATTGTGTTTATATATTTAGAATTATTTTATAGTTTTACCTTTATCAAACTACTAACAACATTTTATAGAGATTTTCTTTCTTATTCAAAGGAAAGTTGTTTGGAAGAATCATCATCAGTTGACGTTGACAAAGAACTGTCGAATGTGATTGATGAACGCTTTCCAACACTGAGGAAATGCATCTTTTCAGCTTCGTATGCATTGATTAATTTATGGATTACTTTTGGCTTATTTCGTTTTACCATATTCTTAAGTCAGTTATACAGACAACTAGTTCATTTGTTTCCAACAGATAAAAAATTAGTTGAACACTTATTGGAAGTATCTTCAGTTTTCTCGATGTGCGGCTTTTTCGCAGCACCTATTTCTGGAGTAATTATTGATTTGTCTTTGAGGCGTTCTCGTGATAAAGTGGCAAATATACTGATTAGTAACAAATTCAATGTGTCTAATAGAAAAATGTATTATAATTACATTTGTGGTTTAGTACCTGCACTGACAATAGCGTCCATATTTGCTGTTATTTTAAGTACCATGATGTTTATTCCCAACACGGTTGCAATTTATACAGCATTTGTCTGTTTAGTTATTGTTCGATCATTAATGTTTAGCTCGTATGTCAGTTATTTGTTGACAGGTTTTCCAATACGTTATTTTGGCACATTGAATGGTATTTCAAGTGTTATATCTGGTTTATTCAGTCTGTTGCAACATATTTTTCTGCACACAAGCGGTATTGTGGCTAACTCAGTGTCTATGGCAGCATCTATTGGTTTATTTATCACACCTTTTGTACTATTGATGTTAAGACGTTAAATATGTTTTGCAAAAAGTTAATTTATGGGTTTCTGATCTATTTATTTCAAATATTTCACAAAATTACCTATGATTATTCCACTTTGATTTTGTTTTTGTTCCACTTAAATATATATTTATTCAAATAACTCATCTAATCCTCCCTCCCTCGATCCTCTCTTCCAAAACTGCTCATTTTTGTGTTTTATGCGAGTATGAATTTCGTGGTATTTAATTTTACTTTTGAAAAGAATAAATATAAATAAGTGAATGAGAAAAGCAATAGCATTTTGTACCGATCTCTCTGGGATTTCCATTTAATTATCGTACCGCTTATGTGATTTCCAACCAATTATTCACAATATTTTTCAGCCGAAACATATTAATGGGTTCAATAAACATTGTTTTGAAGTCTTTATCACAGCAACATTTCAAAATAACTTAAGAAACGGTCTCCCAGTTTCTTTCGACCTCATGCAATTGAGTCATGTTCAGCAAAATCACTTCCGTACTGAATGCTTGATTAACTTATTCTGCATTAACTATTAGCAGTTTAAAAAGAGGACTTAATGAATACTTGAAGTATAGTTCAAAAATCACAGAAGCGAAAACCAGTCTGAATTTTATCCGTAATTGTACTTTTACATACTGATATCCTAAAGACTATTGAGAATCCCTTCGCCTATACAAAATTAAACGTAATAATAAATGTCAGATGGGTTTTTGTGGATATTATAGTAATTTCAATGGTTAAGATCATGAGTCAGGTGAAGCTAGACAACCATGGAAAACCTGGAAGCACTGGACGGCCGTTTCGTCCCATTGTGGGACTCCTCACCAGTGCGAATCCACGATCCTGCCTCATGAGATTCAAGCCCAGGACCTATTAGCCTCGCACACAAACGCTTAAACATTAGACCACTGAGCCGGCATCCAACGGTGTTAATGTCTGACTTCAACTAATCCACGAAATTGAACTACACATCCACCATTGTCTTCAGTGAGTTACTATCTCACAACAGACCTGGTTGAACTCCACTGGTCACTACTTCTCACTAGAACTCCAGGATATACCTCTTGAAGCCAGTCACTAGTGAGCATATGTTGATTAATATCAGATGGGTTTTTGTGGATATTATAGTAATTTCAATGGTTAAGATCATGAGTCTCTTAAAAATATATACTCCAAGTCAAAGTGAATCTCTTTAAATGCATATTGTTGAGTTAGAAAGGAATATTACATGAAAGATCTCCCTCAAAATCTAAAGGAATTATGTACAACTCATGTTCTAGAAGTACGAAGAATGAGGGATAGATTCAGACATATGAGCCGCTTGAAGACGTATTCGAATTTGTGAGTGCAGTAAAACGCATGAATATAAAAGACAAAACCATGCCATCATTTGACATAACATCTGTGTTTACTAACATTCCACTGATAAAAACCATTGACTATATATCTGAACAACTGCTAGGAAAGAAAATAGAGATACCCATCCCAATAGATAAAAGGAGCTTCCGTTAAATTCACACAGAAAATCTGCTTTACTTATAACAACGAATTTTATAGATAAATAAGGGCAGCAATGGGATCAACCTCAAACGTGGTCCTCCCAAATTTCTTTATAGCCAAACTGGAAAACGAGTAGTTAAAAGACATCTTATTACTGTTGATACATGGATGACGCACTGATGATGCATGATGAACGTATCGATGATTTCAATAATGTTCACCCAACTGTTAAATTCACCAGTGAAGAGGGGAACGGTAGTAGTGTCACTTTCCTTGACGCTCCACTTGCTAGAAGGATAGATGGTTCCATAAAATATGCCTTTAAGAAGAATACTTAGACGGGTTAGTATACCCATTTTCATAGCTATACACCTCTTCAAAACAAAATTAATTTAGTTAGATGTTATGGCCATAGCATCAAACTATTATGTTCTGAGGATAGTGTAGATGGTGAAATAGATAAACTAAAGGGTACATTACGAAATAGTGTCTATTCAAACAATTTCCTCAAAAAATTTCTTTCAGAAGGTGAAAATTGAACAAACTCTTACATGGTCAGCAAGACAACCATCTGTCTAAAACTCGACCTTATAGGGGGCAGAGCGGGTGACATTTTAACATGTTAGTTCAAAAGGTCTGTTGAAAGGACATTTCACACTACCAAGTTACACTTAATCTCAACCAAACCAGTGCTTACACGACAAATCAAGAATAGATTACCGATGATTGCCTCCTTCATGTACACCAATCCAAATGCTCATGTGGAGCTAATCACATAAGCCATACTCAGAGGCCTTTATCCTTTCATGCCCGTGAACATGTGCTAGCATGATTGTGAATAGGAGTCACGAAATCTATTAGCAGTCCCATCCTTTCTCACTTGATAGATAGCTAGCATCGTGTTAAAATAGGTGAAGCTTTCTCGGTTTTGTACCAAGTTTCAAATAATCTGCCTAAAAGAGCAACATAACGGCTCCACTACATAGCTGAAGCCATTTGGATCGACTCCAGAAAACCTACCTTATGTATCCAAAAGAGACATATTCAACCTATTGGTTTACTTTGGTTCACAAGTAGGTCACCAGATACCTATATTGGATATTGTAAACCTCTCAATTCCTTTTATGTTTATATCTTTCTTGATCTACACATTCATCTTTGCCAGTTCACATGGATTTTTTTATAATATTTACCTTGACGACACCTCTCTTATTATATATACATACAACGTTATTATTGTTATCTCCACTAAAAAGGCGAACTTCTATGCGTTTTAGTCACATGATTCATTGCCTTATAACTTGACACTTTACTATGAATCACTCTGACCTGTATTAGACAATTTTTCTAATTTCCAGATGACACTATCTTGAAATACACATATCGTAACAGATGCAACAGTTCACCATTCTTAATATACAACTGTCAAATTCATTAATGCATGATTTACTTCGGCCATTGTAAAATATCACAATAATTATGAACTAACTGTAGGCTTTGATGATGAAATTATTGAAAATATTTGTCAGCTTAAATATTTTTTGTTTTAGAGAAACTACTCAACAATAAAATTATTGATTTCACAGAATTTCAGTGATGTTCTAAACAATCTAATTATGAATTTTTCAATAAAATACTTGGTAATTTTTTATAAGGTCATAAGTTCAATTGGTGTTATCTGTTGTTTACATAAATTAAGTCATGTTAAGTGCTTTTTACATGGTACAGACTAATATACATAGATTTTGTGTATTCTCTAAGATTGAGTTGAAGCAGTTCGAATATATTATTAGCAAACTTGCCGAGGAAAATTATCCATATAACAAAAAGTCAACTTTTGATAATTACTACACTGACGACTTAATTTACAAAGTGAGCAGACTGATGTAGAATGTTGTATCAACTTGTAAAACGAGTCGTAGTTTATATTACATATAGAAGAGAATGATATTCAAATGTCTTGGTCGATCACATGTTAATCACTGTTATCATTATTAATAGGGTGGATCATGCAGTGTAAGAGATGAACTAAAAATGGTTGTGAAATACTGGATACCAGTTTCTTTCCTTAACAACATTTGTCATTCACCCGTACCGAATATTTCTACTATAATTAAATAACAAATACTGTATTCATTTAAAATACGTTACTTCAACTTTAAGTGGAGATATGGCAATGAATTAGGAATGAATTTTTGTTTCAAATTAGCGATTCTTCATTCATACCCAAAAGTTAGTTTCCTCTTGTTGTACGTAGTGAATAAATATAAATATATAAAAATTATACATAAATGTATATAAATTATATGTATATATCCTAAATTCCATCTAAAATTGTCCTAATATTTATCCTGCGGAGGGATTTAACCTGGTAATCGGCACGTAATCGATCTGTAGTGGTGATCATAGTCAACTGTGACTCGACACAACCACATCATCCTGATGGGAGATCTAAACCAAAGCTAAAGAAGCCCTGGACAACTGGGGAATCAGCATTACGAAGGTTCAATACAGACTTCCTTCGAGATGCTGACAAACTTATCGAATTCAAGATAGCTCTCAACAACAGGTTTTAAGCCTTAAAAGATGTACGCGAAAAAATCTACTGTGGAGGACAATTGGAAAGGAATAAAAGGAGCACTAACTTCAACGTGTCAGGAGGTTCTGAGCCGCAACAAGCATCATCTTAGGAAGTGGATCTCCATCGAAACCCTGGACATGACTCAAGAAAGAACACGAAGACAGCAATTAACAACGGCCGAACAAGAACAGAGCAAGTCAAGGCACAAGCTGAATAAACAGAAAAAACAAGCAAGTGAAGAGGAGTAGTAGAGCTGACAAACTGAAATACGTTGAACACCTAGCAACGACAGTGGAAAAAGCTGCAACAAAAAGAAAGGACAGATCAGAGTTATATTATGATTAAAGGGAATGATTTAAATTGCTTTACATAACAGTTATACGGGTGACTAAGGAAGAAAATAACTACCGTAACAACATAAGTTAAATTCAATTAGCTCGTGAATTCATGGAAGTTTCTGACAATCAAGAAACATTTGTAATAATTATTTATCACTAATGTTTATAGTTTATATCATAATAATGGGGATCAGTAGAATAACGATAACGTATTTGGAAGAATTATGAAGTAGTTAAGTGGATGAACATTTACATGTTACAAACTATAAAAAAATCCGACGACACGGTCTTAGAAATTAAAAATTCTTGTACAACCATAAAATTAGATTACTCAAAAAATGGTTTTGAAATGAAATAAAGGAGTTTGTTATAGATAATGTGAAACAAGGTATTGCAAAATTGAATGGTGAAAATCAGAGGTTACCAGGGTAACGAGAGTTTCACAACTGTATCTTTTTAAATACATCGGTTCGATTTCAATATTTTAATAGTGATGACCTCAGGACAAATTAGCAACTTAGTTGTTTGAGTCTTGATTAATTTTAACGATTTCAAACCATCACTGCTGAAAATACGTTGACCTGATAATCTTCAATTTTGAAGGAATATACTCTGTGATACGAACTAGAATTCTACTTTCTATTCACTCTATGTAAGCACAAATACATAAACCAGTAAATGTAATAGGCGGTAACATGAAGTGGGACTTTTTGTCCGCTTTTTCCCCCATTGATGGGCAGTTTGTTTGATAAAACGGTTTGTCTGCTAGATGTGTACTCTTCATTGGAGCACT